AAAAAAAAAAAAAAAAACATGGAATCCGCATGGAATTTGGCGACTTTCTCTGCAAAACATGAAGTCAAGTAATGTTTTCCTCATTCACCCAAAATCCGTATGTTTTCTCTACTTTCTCACACGTGTTGCAATGTTCGTATGTTTTTTGTCTGGAGATTGCTGACATTTTGCCAGCATCTGAATATTCATTTGAAAGGCGTAAAGTTTTCAGACTTGATTCATAAATTTGTGGAAAATATTAAATTTGGCACTCCAAAGGCAACACTGTCTCCCCCACCGCCTGCCAGCTCAGTTTTTCCGATTTGTCCATAGCTGTTGATGTATTTACATAAATCCAAAATGGCCCATTTCCAGATTCATGAACTCATTTCATGCTATTCATAAATAAACAAATGCTGAGGTCGCCTGGTCCTCCAGGGACGGAACTCAGGGCTAAAATTGACTGTGCTGGTTCACGCTGGACAGTATATGGAGTCCCACAACTGCCCAGTCAAAACGGTAAAAGTGTAAAGACGAAAGGTGGGAGGAGCGCGCACAAGCGAAAACGCTAGAACGGTAAAACATTAACTAACAAGTGCGCCGTGCAGGAGCACGAGGGTCAAACGGTAAAGCCGTAAAAATGTCAAAGCCTTTTGCAGCAGAGCGTGGTAAAAGGGCAAAACCAACAAAAGCAGGAAAGAAAATTTCTAAAAAATGGCAAAACCAATACAAACAAAGAAACGGCAAAAACAATCTCTTAAAAAAAAGATACAAACGGTAAATGCGATAAAAACGATAAAAACGGTTAAAAAAGGAAATAAACACATGTAAAACAGCAAAACAAACAAAACGTGTAAAATGGGTGACACGCTAAAAACGGTAAAAACGGTAACCGGCAAGATGGGAAAACGGCACGGACATGCATTGACCTGGCGACCCCCATAGTGAGAGATGGCAGGGGGCCAGGCTTGTTACTGTATCCTCCTTCGGATGGTCTGTCCGAGCGGCCTAGCGGTCCTAACGCTCCAAATTTGCGGCCCTTGGATTTGGTAAAACGCTAAAACCTGTTTCGTATGTCGTGCTCTTAATGCAGCAGGAATGGTTCTACGCTTGCACACTGTCGCGCTGCAAGAGCCGTTTTTGCATTTCTGCATTTGTACGTTTGTGGGCGTTGACGCAGCAGTAACGGTTCTGCACTTCAACACGCGGGCGCTTTAATTTCAACACAGCCCCCTTGTTGAAGTACGTTAACTTTTGTTGTTTTTGTTGGGGCGTGCGGCAGTTCCTAGTCTTTGGGGGCCCGAATCGTTAGCAAACATGAGTAGCTGAGTGGCTGGACCCTTTGACCCTTTGGGGCTGCTGGAAAGCAGCCATCGAGCATGTTGTTCAGCTTCGTCGAGCTGCCCTCTGTGCGTTTCCATAATGGTCACCCTAAACTGCTGACTGAGATATAGGAAAATATGAAGGCTCTACAAGTTTTAAGTTTCCAAACACAAAGGGGTCTCTTGTGGGGGTCTTTATGATCAGTCTTCTCGTATTTGGTGGCATATCATTGGAATCCCCAAGTAGAGGACAATTCCCGCAAGTCCAAACTGGTGAAATACTGGATGGGTCAGCAAGAGGGCGCGCGGTACCAAAATGCAGATCTCAAGCTAAGATGCAAGAGGACTGGGACATACTACAAGGACACACGTGCTTGTCAGGCCGTGGGCATTTTCTTTCATATGTCTTTTCGGCTCTCGCAAAATCGACAGATTTTTCCTTAGCTTTTGGGTCAATATGAATATGCTGAACGAAGTGTGTTTAGCATTACGAAGTGCTTAAAACACTGAGAATACCATCGATTTTGGACGTAAGCTGAAGAAACTCTCCACATCCGGAAAAGCAATCTCAAGATATCTCAAAGCTTGTTTGAAAACACACGAATGGTTATCATATGTTGTTATGGTTTGTAATGGATGTTCTAGTGATCGGATGCGCTCGACCATGAACGTTATCATGGCTTGGGATGGATGCTCTGATCACCGTAGGCACCTGTCACACGAACGGCATTGTAATTGGGGCATGGATGCTCTGGTGATCGGATGCGCTCCAACGTGAACGTCATCATGGTTTGGGGATGGATGCTCTGATCACCGTGCCACCTGGAACACGAACGACACTATGGCATTATGGTTGGGGGATGTATGCTCTGGTGATCGGATTCGCTCCAACGTGAACGTTACCATGGTTTGGGCATGGATGCTCTGGTGGTCGTATGCTCTCGCAACAGGACCGCCATTGTGGCTTGGGCGGATCTTCTCGTCACCGTATGCTCTTGGAACATGAACGTTATGATGATTTGGGCATGGATGCTCGCGTCACCGTACACACTTGCAACGCGAACGCTCTTCTGGTCTGGACATGGATGCTCTGATCAACGTGTGCTTTTGCAACACGAACGTTATGGTATGTTACGATGGATTGGGCATCGCGTGGTTTGAATTTTGGAGGCTTAAAATGCAAAAATGTCTCGGGACATCTTTCAATCACATGGAAGTAAAGATTCAATGCATGCTTCGCTTCCTTTTGGATTTGCAGGTTTGCCAATGGGTCTATAGGTTATAGGTATATTATAAAAAGAATGAAAGCAATCCCTTTGTCCTAGTGCCCGCAATTTCTGGCCAGCGGCCTCGTAAAACGGTAAAATCCAACAAACATAATTGGTTTCCCTAGGTTTACCTTTTACACTTTTACGCAGCAAAAACGGTTTTACGTTTTTACACTTGTATGCTTTTACGGAGCAGGAACAGTTCTATGCTTTTACCGTTTCACACCGCAGGAGCAAGTTTGCGCTTTTATGCTTTTACACATTTTACGCTTTTACCCTTTCACCCAGCAATAAGGGGCGCGAGCGGCTGGCCACGCCCCAAAGCCAGGGTAGAACTCCAAAATCAAAAACGAAATTCACCTCTTACGCTTCTACGCAGCCGCATAGGGCGCGAGCGGCCGGCCACGCCCCAGAGAGCAACGGTAAAACGGTAAAAATCCGAATGAAACGAATCTTACCTTTTACGCTTTTACGCAGTAACGAAGGGTCGCAAGCGCATGGGCACGCAAGCGTAAAACTGTAAAATTCGAAAAAGAAAGAAGTTTACCTTGCGCGCTTTCACGCTCTATTTTACGCCGTTACAAGCGAGCGGTGCGACATGAACAGTAGATTTTCAGCCCAATGATGCTAATGATGCCGCTCTTAATCGATTTCATGCAAGCTCCCTGACCACAGGCTGGCCCACGCCAACGGGCCTAAACTCTCAAAATTCATTTTTACATCTCTCAACTACTTGAAAGTAGAGAGCATGCATGTCTTGCGCAATCTTGGTTCCCACCCTGATTCCGCAATTGTTCAATTAATGCCTTCCATTCGCGTTTCCTATCTCAGGCTTGAAGGCCAGCATCGCGAAAGCACCTTCCTAAAATCCGACAGGCACGAGCGCAAGCGGCAATGTGGTGCATGTTCCCGCCTTCAAAGGCTTTGAGGATACAGATGATGCGCTTCAGTGCACGATATTCCTGCTGCATCTCCTTCTCCAAAGCCGCCACTGTCTTGTTTTGCTCCAAGAAGCTGACCCGAGCACGATCATAGCACTCCTCTCAAGTGCAAGCCAAACTGGTGAATTCTGACAACTCTTCATGTCTTGCTTGGGGCTGAGATGTCTTCATTGGCAAGATCTTCAGTTCATCTCCATTCACCACTACATCAACCCTTTCCCTATTGGATGCCCATCTTTGGGCTGGTGCTCAAGGCCTCGTAGCTGCGGCAGTGTCTCTGTGCAGCAACGCTGGCTCCGCAAACGCGATGGTCCAGCTCATCCTCGTGCCGTCACCCACATGATTCTGCCACTGACGTACCCAGAATCTAGAAGAATCTAGAGGCAGCCTTGCCTGCAGCGAGTTGCAAAGTGCTCGCAGCTCCTGCTGCTGCTCCTTGCAGGAGCCAGCGCAGGCTGATGGAACATCAGAACATGGAGAGCCCGCCTCAAGAGCGGCTTTCTTCTGTCGAAGTGACTCGGTGCTGTTGGCCGCAGTATCGCAGCCATCCTTTTTTCGCACCCACCTTGTTACGGCTACCAACAATGACTGCCGGTCACACTGAACTGTCGTGCATTTGTTCAAGCCAACGATGGATCCCGGTCGAGTGTAAAGGCAAGATGCTCATCATACTTGTCCTTGAACTTGTTTCTTAACGCTTCAGCGTAGTATCGCATTGTGTCAGCATGCTGCGGAACTCCGCACTCATCATGCGAAGGAATCTGGTCGATCGACACGAATTTGGCACACTCCGACTGTCGAACCTGGGTTGGCAGCCCCTAGGTTAGACCAGCCAACACAACCGGCATGATCCCCAACGACACTGGACTGTTCGTAGCGCCCTGCTAATGGATGTGTACCTCCGGTTGCAGCAAGGGGTCCAAGTCACTAGCAAACCAGACCTGTTTTGCCTCCGTGGTTGCAAGAGCTTGGAGACTCTCATTCCTCCGGCAGTAGAGATGCCGCTGCTGCAGGTCTGAGAAGTCCGTTTGGGCGCTCTCCAAGCGGCAGTGCGAAAACGCTTCCAAGAGCCGCTTGAGTTCCTGCACGGATGCCTCGCTGCGGCTCAGCACTTGTGGCACCATGTCTTCGACCATCTGCCGGATTTGGTCGATGAATCCGAGGGTGGCATTGTCCATCGCGGACTTACCAGCCATAGACATCACCCAGGTCTCAAGGTCACCAATCTTCTGCTGGGACTGCGAGCTCATTGAAACCAGGTCCAATCCTCACAAGTCGTTGGAGGAACATCACACCAACAAAACCAAGAAAACCATAAGCTACCATCCATTTGTACTCCGAGTCTCTCGGCATCTCAGGCGTAGTTGTGGTCTGGACATCCGTCTCTGCTAGCAGAGATGGTAGCAGGACAAAGCCATCTGATGAGTCTGCGCAAGCAAGTACACTCACCAAGATGCTGACTGACAACCTCGCCGGTCTTAAAGTCAGCAGCATGGCTTTCCAAGCCAAAGAAAAACTAAGTGAAACTGCACATGGTTGCCATGTTTGGCACGCTTCGTTCTTCAGGCTACCATACTCGGTGAAGCTTTGAGCAGCACGTACCAGCAAGCAGGTTCTCAGATAATTTGAGGAAGCTTTGACAACTTCCAGGAATCCACGCCGAAGCAGAGGAACCCATTTGCACGCACCCCGGGAATCATTTTTATGCAAGCGGCCAGGAGGAGGGCTGGGCAGCTATGCCGGAACCACCTCGGCAACTTTGGCAACACGAATTCGAATTTGTCTCTGCGCTTTGCCATCCGAAAATCCTAGGGGTATAAAGCATCCTGCTGCAATCCGCTGCAGTTTTCAGGCCCTTCATGGCCCTTCAGTCTCAGGTTGCCGCGTCCTGACCATGAAAAGATGACGATAATTGATCGGCATTTCTTAGGATGCGTCCGTGCTTGATTGTGATTAAAGCCGTGCTTCGGTTAGCTGGGTAAGTGAGCTGCAGAACCCTAGAGTTTGGAATGCCTCTCTGGTGCTTTTGGCTGGGTGGTGCTGGTGGGGTATCCAAAAAGCTACGCAGGCCTGCGCGAGCTGCTCAAGTTGGCAAGGTTCTTAATCTTAGCTGCTGAATTTTTGTCCTCGTTTGTCGGGTCTGCTTCTATGCTGCTCAACGTGCACGAAGATGTTGCCAAAGCGTGGCAGTGAATGTCAGGCTTGTGCGCTACAAGGTCAAAGAAAATGTACTTGCGGCCTACGTCTTTTTCTTTCTCCACCCCAGCTCTCGTCATGCGAACTCTCTGCCTCCTGATCTTGCACCTTATTTGAGGGGCACAAACTGCGAGTTCTTGCTCATCATTCCGGCCCTTCCATGCTTGATCGGCTTGTACGTGATCGAGAACTCTCCCAGGTAGTGGCCGATCATCTCCTCGGCAACTGCATGGGCCAATTGCACGACTGCTCGTGTAATCCAATGGCAGCGGCCCGATAACAACTTTTTTTTGCATTGAGGACCAGGCAGGCTTAATCTCCACATTGATGTACTGCTTACCATTGTATACGCCGACAACACTTCCTGGAACCCATGGAAGGTGCGGTGCCGAGCAAAGCATGCAAAGCGCATAAAAAGGCTCTAGGATTTGTCAAGCAGATCCAAGCAGCCAATCATCTCGGGCCTGGGTAAGAGGTGAATGACATGTGCCCGCTCGCGCATTCTGATGCACAAATGGAGCTGCTGGTGGTGCCAAGCAGCACGATGACCATGTTTCTGAGGTGTGTCTTCACCGCCTCGGGCTTCTCGCCATATGCCGTTTCGCGCTTCGCCTTCACAATGTCCACCCGTTCTCAAAAAAGAAAAAAGAGCATACGCCGCATCTTGAATTGCTGCATCAACCTCCTTTGTGACTTTCCTGGGCCCTTCTGTCGGACAAGACAAAGAAGAGTGCTCAACTTGCCAGCTCTAGAACATGTCATTGAAGCTAGCCTGATTTGGTCTGTTTGTCTGAAACAACATTACTCTGTTTGAAACCTCAAACCGCCGAGGCCTCGAGCCGTGGGCGCGAAGGGCATCAACTGTTTTTGTACGGAGCCGTGGTCTTCTATGTCTTCTCGTCTGCAGAAGGTAGCTATTGAACAGCTTTCGTCATTTAAAGTCACTCGTCTGCACCAGGCCTAGGTGGCACACGCGTTTTTGTTCGCTGAGGCTGCAGGCCTGGAACATTTAATTGGATTTCGAAGGCCAGGAGGTATGCGCTCCCCTGATCTCCCGTGTCCCAGAAAGGTTTTTGTTTACAAGATTGTTGGGCCATACCGGAGTGAGTGTCGGGCTGCCAGCTGGTCAGGATCTAGCCACCTCATGCGGATTGCGGCGTCCCACCCCGATTCTTCTCGCGAGCGGAACCACGCTTCTATGCAGGTCTACTGCTGCGGCTGCTCGCCCTGCCCTCTTGTGCAACACAAACGCTTGACATTGCAGCTCCACATCTCATCATCTCCTCCCTGAGCCTCACATCAAAACCCAAGCTCTCTACGAGTTTGCACTCAATTTCTGTTGTCGTTGCTCAGGCGGGATTGGTGCTAGAGGCTTCTTTAGCAAACCTAGAAGCAACACCTTTAGGCATATCTACCATTCAGCATTGGACACAAGAACGAGGTGCGCTCCCTGCGCTGGAGAGGCCTTGCGGAGCTTCTTGAGCACTGTGATTGGCCTCAACATAGCAAGATCACAAGGATGTCTGCAGAAACGCTGCAGGCGTACCAAACGTCTACCAGCCAAGCTGCAATAGTTATGGCTCTCGATGCTCTCTGGTAGGCACGACTAGCCACTTGAATTAGCTAGCTCCCCCAGCGTCCGGGTGCAGGGCTTGCGCTTGATCCCTCGGCTGAACTTTCGGCGCTGTCGGGCGCAGAAGAGCTCCATGAGATCCTGGCTGCACCAGGTTTCCCTGTCTCGCTGCCGAATGCAAAGAAGATGGCGGCCTGGTTGCTCATGTCAAGCAGCTTGTCCAAATCGATCCCGCCTGAGCCATAAACCATGCAACTTCAGAACAAGTTGTATGGATTTCTTGCACCGTCCAGTGCCGTGTCAGGCTCAGGCGGTAGGAGTACTTCTTGAAAGTTCGCTTCTTCGGGGCATCCTTCCAAAAAACTCTGCAGATTGTGTGCCTGACTGTGGTTGTTTTCTGGTTCAATGCTCAAACGTTTTCTGCCAGCATCTTGTCCTCACCGTCCGCCATGGCTCTGTGCGCGCTATGAAAGTCAGATGCGTACAGTCCCTGTTGAGAAAAAGTCGCGTGCAAATTGTCTGGTCACAGCATACGTGGGCTGAGAAATCGCTGCAAGAATTGCATGCAAACACTCAACCAACAGAGGCGCTTCTTTCATGCTCAAGACCAAATCCAAATGGGCGCTTCAAAGCCAAGTTGGGAAAACGTGGCCGTCCTGCGAAAACGTATACATGACAGGAACGCTTTGGGGATTTTTGGTGTGAACATTCCACGACAGCTCCTTTCCCAAGGCCAATGCTTCGCAGCGCGTCACTGCTGCATAGGGAACGATCCTTGGGCTGCAAATGCCCACCCTGAGCTCCAGACTGAAACCAATTTGGCCATGACTCCATACAGATCAATGGTCCAAGGTTCAGTTCAATGACAACTTGTTCAACGCCTCGCTCCTGGACCTTCTTTGCCGTTTTTAGCTGCGGAAGCCCCCGGAAGCCCCCCCCCCAGGAAGACATTGTTGTTCTTTGTTTGTCTCGTCCTTTTTCAATGAACTAAAATCGGCTCAAGGTCCGGCTGCAACTGCGCAAACCAAAACTGCCGGGGAGCCCCTTTGTTCACATCGGCTGCGCCAAGGAAACACCCGAACATGCAGGCCGTCACGATCGTCAAGGTGTATCTATTGCAGCTCTCTCTTGGCTCATTGAGCCCCTTACTTTGTCCTAGCGCAGGTGCAAAAAGCAGTCGTGGGGTTTCCTAAAACGGTTGGCTCTAGGTCCCTGCGCCCCGGAGGAAAATCCTTAGCACTGCCCTCCTGGCAATGCTCAGTGTTTGGGGGTAGTGGGACCTTTAATGCTTGCTTCTTCTTATGTGGCGGTGGCCAGCCATCCAAAATTTTGGCTGATTTTTGTGGGATGGCCAACTTAAAATTGCAGGTACGCTTTGACACCCGCAGGTTGGAGACCTCCAGGGATTCGGAGGAATCTCAAGCCCTGCGCACGTTTCTGCCTGCATTCATGTCCGAGGGCAGCACAACGGGTTCCAAGAAAGAGTCTCTTCCGACAGCAGGAAACTGGACATGGTGCACAGAATCGGCACAGAAAACATGAGCACACTATGAAAACGGCAAGCATAATGATGGGCCTGTGGCCCTGCGCAAACTTCTGATTTTCTGCAAACAGAACCTGTCATTTCCTTCAGTCAAAACGTGAAATATTGTGAAATCGTGCTGCAAAAATGTCATACTGCAAAACTATAGCAACCTGTCCAGGTTGCTAACAAACTATTCAGAATTTTAAACACCCTTCTTGCTGCAAATTGCTCAAGCCTCTACACTTCTCAGCTGTTGCTTTGTGCACGCCTGAACTAAGGGGGCGGAGCTTGGACTAATGGCGCGAAGCTTGGACTAATGGGGCGAAGCTTGGACTAATGGGGCGAAGATAAAAGTTTAATCAGAACTCCTCACACCCTTGGACTGAGGGGGGGTGGTCGGTAACCTCCGTCGTTGCTCGAGTTCACGGAGTCCAAAATGCGATGCGTGGTATGTACAGTATTTTGGGCCCTCGAAAAATTCTGAAAATGTAGGCTGCGCCATGCAGGCCACGTCCGAGGTCGACCAAGTACGCATGTTTTGCGCCTTTGCACTCCAGCGGAGCTAAGAACAATGGTGAAGTCCGCGTGGCCTTAACAGGCAAGGGATGATCAGGAAGGAGTACCGGGACAACGCGGCGCTTGTCTGCACAAAACAAGCATGTGGGGTTGGACCCCAAATAATTATGATGGAAGCTGTAAGTTTTGAGGACCCAAGAAAAGGATTTCAAAAAGCTGCCCAAAGTAAACCCTTTCCCTATTCAGCCCTCAGTGCTTTAGATGAGAATCCAAATACCAAATCGGAAACCTGAAGCCGACCAGCCTTTTATCTAAACTCCTTGCTTGAAACCTTACCCTGAAAATGATAGCCCAAATCATTTGGCAAGGGTATAGTCCAGCAGACCCCCTGAACCTTGAATAAAACCGATTTTTTGAGAGCTTCTCTGATCTGTCACCCCTGGGCCCCAGAAGGCTTTAGGGCCCAGACCATCCCCCTTGAAATCAATCCCCAGAGCCCTCAGAACCGCGAGAGGTTTTGAGGAGCCCTTAATAAAGACGCCTAGTTTCTGAGTTCATGGGGGCCCTATTGTTAGAGACATTTTAATGCAAGAACCACTCAGGATTTGCAGTCCCTCCTGGGCGCGCGAACAAAACCAACTCAGGTAACTGGTGAAAGGCGCGCAAAATGATCTGATTATTTTGAAGCCGTTCAGGTCGGATGTCGAATTGCCGTTAATGCTCCGGGCATCCTAGAATTGATCAGTTTATGCCACCCCTGTTGAGCATTCACAAAGCAACGAGAACTATTTGGGCTTCCAAGTCCAAGTTGGCCTATATGGGCACAAGGACTATAAGACCCATCAGGGTTTGATGCGTGCTGTGTCCCTTCCAGCGGTCAAGGGCTCCGGTTAAGGTTTGAGGTTGCCGCGGGTCGATGCCTCTTGTTCAAGTATTGGGCCTTTAGGGTCTTTCGGTCTCGATGATCCAGGGTTTATGGCTGTCACAGTTTAAGTGTACTGCCCACATCTTTGTGTGAACGATCTGAGGCTTGGCCACATGCCTCACAACATTGGAGGGTTTCTCGACCTGCAAGTGTCAAGGAGCATTGCACCTTTTTAAGATGTTTCAAGTTTTAAGGTTGGGGGGTTCCAGGCCTTTCAAGTCTGCACTGCTTTGAATTCAGGAACATACCGCACAACGTGCACTGCACAAGCCAAATGCAACGGCACTTTTTGATGCGGTGGGAAATCGCCTGTGTCGGCGGGGGAGGGGCGCATCTGCTCCCCCGTCCCGGGATGGGTGTAGAGACCCACCCTTAGACAGAGTAAACGCCCGAAGGGCGAATGACTAATCTGTGGTTAAAACCGCCGGGTTGGGCGGGCGGGCGGGCGGGACAAAAGGCGGTTTGAGCACTGGAGCTGCCGTGCGCGCCCGAGTGCTACATGTTCCAACGCACACACGTGTGCTATCATACAATACAGGGCTTATGAGCTTAAGCTGTGGGAGGGGCTCCCGCCAGGATTTATTACTCCATCCGGGGCGGGCATCTAGTGTTCAGGTGCGCCAACCACGACTGTCCTCAGCGTTTGTTGTATCAGCGAAGGGCGAGACACAGGTTCACGGTCATTCCAGGGACTCCAAGTCAAGCGCTGTCAGCGCCGGGGATGCTACATTTGTGGAACTGGCACAACAAGATCTATGGTCTCGTGCTCCTGCTCCTGCTGGCCAGGTGCTGTCCGTACACGTGAATGCAGCCCTCGGGCCGGAGGTAGTGAATGACCTCAAGCAGAACCAAGTCTTGCCGAATCTTGTTCTGCCTGCTTCCAATTTCCAAGGAAGGGACGGAGGCCGCAGCCTTCCTGTCGAGACCGCGCTCGCTTCAGCCCACAGCACAATACCTGAATGGCCCCTCGGCCTCACATCATCGTCCGGTTCTGCATCTCCCATATTCCCGTGGAGCCATGTGAGGGGCTTCAATAATCGATCCTGGTCTTTTCAAGCTGAAGGCCAACAAATCGAAGAAGAACAAGTGAGCACAGTACCTACTAAACGCACTGATCCACAATTCAGTTGCTCAAGAAATCTAGATTGACACATACACGGAAAGCGCGAACTCTGTATGAGTTAAGACAATGCTGTCAGGAGGCGGGGTCAAGCTCCAGGAGCATCAAGTCCTGAAGCAACCAAGGAATTATTGGAAAACACAGCCAGTTGCCAACTGCATATGCAGCATTATGCAGCCTGATCCAGCAAACCAACTAACACGACATGAAAGCGACCAGCCTGGCATGTACTGAAGAAGCGTGCAGCGACCATGCGGACCGCCCGGCAATCGCTGAGATGGACGAAGCCGTCCTCTGGGCATCACACGGCTGCTTGCACGCAAACCCGGTGCAGCATGAAATGACAGCCCTGCAACAGTTTTTGCTGGGTGAGCTTGAGGCGGGGAACCGTCGAAGCGCTTCAATCATTGTTTGAAAGCAGAAGCCGTTCTTCCAGCAGCTCCTTTGCGTCCAGCTCTGAAAGGATCTGCTGCTTCTCAGCGAACCTCAACAGAACTGAAGGTAGATGAAGGTGGCATTGCAACAGAAAGCGGGCAGCTAGAGCGGCCACAAACAAACTCATCACTAAGCCAATCGTGGCGTTTAAAACAAAAATTCAAGACACCCGCGAAGTGACGCTCAGTGGCTACTTTTCAATAGGAAAGTCACCGAGAGATGCTTTGCTTTTGTAAGCCACTTGTTTGACCGGTCTGCTACCACAGTTGCTTTTACTCTTTGAAATTTATTGTGTCTTCAAATGAGTCCACACCTTCAGTCTGAGACTACCATCTCTATGGGCTAAGATTCGAAGCCAGGCTAGCCCTGAAACAGGAAGGGGAGAGGGGAAGACGAGAGGGGAGGGAGTCGAAAGTCACTTTTCTGCCGGGGCATGCTTCCTATTAGACACACTGGCTTCAAAGCCTCAAAGCCAAAGACCCATGTTGACATGGGCTTCACTGGGCTTCTCACTGCTTGGCCTCGCTCGCGGTTGCAAGCTTGAAGACCTTTGACAAGCGATTATGTTTTTTTTGTGTTGCTGCTAAGACACTGCGTGCATTTCACTCCAGCGCTGAGCTTCACACTCGCAATGGAGTGTCGGTCAAACCTGAAATGACTGTAAAGACCTTAGCTGCAGCACATGTCAACCCAAGCGGCCCAAGCGCAAAAACATGGCAAGAACTTCCGAGCAACTCGTAGCTTCCACATTAAGCGAGGCCACGCGTCCATCGCGAAGCATTGGAAACTCAGCCTCCACAACCTGCCATCACTTTGCCGCCATGAATCTGAAATGCCATGCTGCATTGGCTCAAGAATGCCAGCTAATACTGCGCAATCCAACAAATCCCAAGAATGAAGCCTGCGGAGGGATGCCGCCAAAGACATGAGGCCCTTGGCTTCAAGCTAAAAGAGCGACACCGCTAGTGAGGATCCTGCTCTCCCGGATGGACAAGTTCACAAGCATCTTCTTTGGGAGCTCCCCACAGAACCGCTGATCAAACTTCAAAAGACTTTGAAACCTACACCTGTGCGAGACTGCCACTTTTTGTTGGCCCATCCATTTCCACTTTGCTATCCAAAGGAATGAAGACTCACTGACACCAGGTCTTGCCAAGACACACACAAAAGCCTTCGAATTGCTGCTGACATCCTTGGTGCCGACGGGCTTGGCCTGACAAGAAACGCTTGAGCCCTTGGACATGGATTCCACTCCCATGGGTCCCGTGGGGGTGTTGGCAGAGTCGGGTGCCAAGAGTCGGAATAAGCAGGGAGAGAGTCGGGAACCAGGAANNAAGGAGGCTAGAGTCGGGAAACAAAAGGGCGGGAGTCGGGAAATACAGACCAGAGTCGGGAAACAAGAGGGGCGGGAGTCGGGAAATACAGACCAGAGTCGGGAAACAAGAGGGGCGGGGGTCGGGAAATACAGACCAGAGTCGGGAAACAAGAGGGGCGGGAGTCGGGAAATACAGACCAGAGTCGGGAAACATGGACCAAGGAAACATGTGATTTTACATGACGTTACCCCCCCCTCCCCCACCAAAGCGATGGTAGTTTCTCATGTGGTGATTTTTGTTCTTGCCCGCCATTGTTTCTACAAATTCTACATCTGATTAGACATTGAGTGGCTGATGTGTTCCTGTTTCAGGGATGTAGTCTGTGTCCAAAAACCATGTAAATTTACATAACATACATAACGTTTTGCATGATTCTTGTTGTCTTACCCGCGATTGCCTCTACGTCTAATTAGAAATTAAACCCCCCCCCCACCTACCCCGCCCATCCCCCACCTACCCCCCTACCCCCCCATCCCCCACCTACCCCCCCTACCCCCCCTACCCCCCCCCAGTGGCTGATGTGCTCCAGTTTCAGGGCTGTAGTCTGTGTCCAAAAATCATGCAAATTTACATCCCCTTTTGCATGATTCAGCAACCAAACCATGATAGTTTTTCGTGTGGTGACTTTAGTAACTTTACCCATAATCTCTAGGT